AGAAAGTTTCTCTTTTACGTTCATTTAAACTTTTTTCCAGTGTCATTTGAGGTTCGGTACAGATATTTGCACTTCACACTCGATATAGCGTCGCAATAAACCTGCCAGTGTTGGCATGTGAAAGCTTTTAAATGAAATTAACGGCCATGGTTATATTTTTGTAATGACAACCCAACGCACTGGAATTCTATAAACTTTTTTTTTATATCTAGTATCAAGCAACCTAAGCTTCACTTTAATAATACGAAGATAGTCTATTATACTCATACTTCATACTAATATTATAAATGCGAAAGTTTAGATGGATGGATGTATGTTTCTTAGAGTTTGTAGCCTAAACGGCTTAACGGATTTATATGAAATTTGATATAGATGTAGAGGATATTCTGGAAGGACACTAGGCTACTTACTTTTGTTTTAATTCCACGCGGACGGAGTCGCGGGCGAAAGCTAGTTAAAAATAAAGGAAAAGGTTCTCATATCGATTGGTATTATGTTTGTACATTCAATTCAATTTACGATCGGATTTACACGATTATTTTTTATTTGATACGGAATAGATGCTATTTGGTCCCACTTTTTCAAACTATCTAGTATTTTTTGAGTTTTGAGTGAAAAACGGATTTTTAGTCTTGAAGTCGGTTTTCATTTTCTGTTAAAGACAACTACCGTGTCCATTTGAATCTTGTCTTTAGCAGTTTCTTGAATGCATGTTTCTATTACAGTAGGTTTCTATTGTTGCAAGCATCTATGTTACATCAGATCAAAACAAAAATTACTAATAAGGATATCTGATAGTGTTCGGAAATTTAATATAATGCAAGGTTGAGTGGTGCTCGGCAAAGCAAAATGTTACTTGCTTTAACGTCGAGCGCGTTGGTAACTAAAAACTTTCCCCATCTCGTTTTAATTATAGGAACACGCTTATATAATTTTACCTCAAGGATTTTATAAACATCCTCAATATAAAATTATTTACATATTTTAACAATGTTTTTTCTATGTACCTTCATTAATTTCCTTTCAACTAAACCTTTTTTGTATAAGAATTAGTTACAGCAATCGGATACAGATTAAACAAAATGACTTTTTCTACAACATAAGGTGGCAAACGAGCAAGCGGCCACCTGAATCCGCAATTGCAGATGCGTTGCCAACCCTTATCCGACGACGAGATTACGAGACGCACATAAATAGGATATTTCCCCTTCCTATGCATCTCCTCCACCGTCAAATCCACTTCCTCTACCCATTCTCTCCTTATAACAAAAGGGATATAAAGGGAAACGGACTAAAATTAGGCCTCCGGCACCAAATTCTCATTCAGAACAATATTGCCTTAATCTGCTCCTAAAGTCGAATATTGATCGTAAGTCTTAATAGACAAAGGTTAGGTAGACCGAAGAATGTGTGAAAGAAGATATGCTTAAGAAGGGAGTTGATTCAGATATGACGGCTGGTAGAAATGTATGGAAGCAGCAATACTGAGCCGACCCTTCATAGGGACGTGGGCAAGTTGATGATGATTGACCGTAAATCTTTTAAACAAACGTATTTAAAATTACTGTATATATATTCTTAATTTAGTATTTACTACATTTTTGTGCAAAAGTTGCTTTACAGGGAATGATTAATTACCAATTGGGACAATATATTTGTGTAATCTCTATAGGAAAACTAGTTTATTTTCCTAAAATTTACGGTATTGCGTTTCATTGCACTTGATATCTTTTACGAAGACTCTTGAAGGCAATTATTTTTCCATTCAAGTGGTACTTTTAATCATTCACAACCGAAAAGTTTTATTTTTGCGAAAATATTATATAATGTAAAAATAATATAGCGTTTCGCCTTTTATATTGTACATAGCTATTTTATATAGTTTTAACATAGTGATGTTTATTTTTAATCTTGTTTTCTGTACCAAACTCTATCATAGGCCACTAAGATGAGAGCACTCAAGTTAATGCAGTACTGTGGGCGGGTAATAAAATAATAAATGAGTGAAACACGAGTAAGGCTTAAGAGCACTTTAAAAGAACTAATACCGCAAAAGCTAACGCACAAATAATCAACGGTAAATGACCGTAGGTTTTCACTACTTTCTATACATCCACAAATACATTGATCATTCGTCCCAATTTCTTCATATACATAGAGAAAACAATATATTTTTGTACAGATATGAAACAAAGAAAACTCACTACTAACTTCTGTCATTTGTTTTAAATCACTTTAATTACGTCATATTATGTTAATTGTTTACTTAAATAGGTAAAGAACAACTGCGAATTCAAGGTTGACCGCTCAAAAATTACAATACCAATACAAAACAACTTCAAATATATGCAGCACTCAAAATTATTCTTTGAAATTAACTTAAATCGTTTCGCGCAGATGTATGTCAAGAGTAATAATCGACCGAGTACGATTAGAATCGATTCTTTGACAGGATTGCATAGTCTATGTCACTCTGACAAAAGTCAAAAGTGCATCTTGTGAGGCACTATACCTTAAAGCGTCATGAAGGTTGCACGTTAGCGAAGGATCGCCGATATAATTTAAATCCTATTTAATCATTGCCAAATGGCGACAAATTGTTAGTTGATTGTTTGTGATACATTAAGGAGTTACTAAATGAGTGTGATACGGGCTTATTACTGGAATTATATTACTCGATACTGCCGACATATACATTTCCCCCAAGGACCGTGAGTGTGTATTTTATGATATTAAGGGCCTGTCCTAAATTTTAAATTGTCTAAAAACAATCCAACGTGTAAAATAAGTGATGGAAATATCGGATTTTGTTCCCTTATATGACAGTGACGTCATTTATAAGATGTCTAGCCTCTATCAGCCAGTGGTAGGACAGGCCCTAACTATTATTATTCTTAATCAACTATGTGTTGACAATATAAAGAATTTAATCTTGCAACTTATAGCGCTAGTTCTAATGAAATGCAGTGTGTAAAATATTTTCTATGTCCCACGGGCTATTTCATACTACAATACATTTTCTACTACAATAACACAACTAGAATAACTTAAACATTTTCCTTGACAGTATTTCTTAGTATATTGTTTTTAAAATTACTGTACTTTTATTTTTGCGTATAAAATGTTTCTAACATAGTGAAAAATAAAAATATCTGAAACATACGGTGATAGAACTATAACTTAGTTGTTTTGTTAATTTAATAAAATGAACTGTCATCTTTACTAATATTATAAAGGGGAAAGATTTGTAATTTTGTATTTATTGTAATATCTCAAAAACTACTGGACCGATTTTAAAAATTCTTTCAACCTTAGAAAGACAATTTATCTGTAAGTAACATAGGCTGTATTTCTTAATTTCACACGCTCGAAGTCGCAAGCAACAGCTAGTTATAAATATTTATTAAACACAACTTTAGCAAATAATTACCAGTATCTATATTGTACAAGTTATGAACGCCGTTACTGGGTGTAACGTAACATGTTACATGAGATTTATACGGTCAGTGTGTCACAATGGGAGCATATTTGCCATTTGCCTTGGAAGCAACGAGCATGTGAAATGTTGTAACATTTCTTTACACGATACATATCTTCAGTTATTGATAACCTTTCCATTAGTATACATTATATACAGAAAAAATTACATATACAACACATATCTATAAGTAGTGCCCAGTTTTCTATTCCAAAGCAAAGTCGAGATCAAAAACTTGAAACAAATTGGCCGTTTCTCTGAAGCTGCACTTTTGCAAGTCTCTACTGCGAAACAAAGAGCTTTGACATGTTCGACACAAACGAAAGCACTTCTGAATAGCCCTTACTTTCCAAGTCAATATTTACACGATGAGTTATTTAATTTGATTGGACTATAACTTGAAAAAAAAATTACGTTTGTTTATATTTTAAAAATGTTCGATTCAGGTAAATTCGGCAATAAACTATAAGATGAATACCTGTATTGTTTTAGGACCTTTAAATGTACACTAACACATAACTAAGGCTTATTGCAAACTAGACTTTGCCAGTGGTAGAGCCCGCTTTAACATCTTCGCACGAATGGGCCGGCTCGCCCCCAGCAATACCACGACCACACAGAAAACAGGCGTGAAGTGTGGTTATCGGAATAAGTGTGGTGCCGGAGGCCTAAGTTTAGTCCCTTTCCCTTTCCAGCCTTTCCTTAAGAGGGGAGGATGGGAAGGAAAAGTGGATTTGACGGTGGAGGAGACGTATAGAAAGGAGATATGTCCTCTTGATATGCGTCTCCTCCTTCGTCAATTAAGGGTAGGCAACGTATCAGAAATTGCGGATGTTTCTGGGCAGCCGTCGCTTTCCATTTCGATGGATTCAGGTAGCCGCTTGCTTGTTTGCCACCTTATATTATAAAAAAAGACTAAAGAAAAATTCTTGAACAAACTTGTATTATAATTATGTCAAAGTACATACGTATATCAGTTATTCGAATGAATGAATGTGTGTCATTCTGAACGCTACGGTTTGAATACAGTTGAATATTCAGGTCAAGAGGGATTGTAATTCTATACTCGGATAAAGACGAGTTGATACTTGGTCGAGTGCTTCACTTGTCAAGTCCTTTTTCTTTTGCGTTTTTTAATAAAATATCGTAATAATTTCGTTACCAAAATATTTTAAATATTGTATTTTGAAAAAATATACATAATAAAAGATTACTGAAGTAGATTCATATCGTTTTAGACAAAATTTGATATGTAATAAATGTAACTAGCAAAACATGAACATATATTTATTTGACATTGTTTTCACGAATAGAGAATTCGTTTGCATACCCTTCGAAAGCAATACTAGATTCTTTACCCGCTTCCACACTCGAGACCAATTAAAAAATCCGCCGCAGTGTATCCGTAATAAAACGGAAACTACACGTTCTGTTTTATTTAAACGCAAACATGTAGATTGAAAATACCTTTGACTAATTAAAAATTGTTCTGTTCCATGTGCGGTCGCCGTTGGAAATGCAGAGCGCAACTCGAGTAAGTATGCAATGTTCTTCAAATCGATATGTTACTGATCGGTTACAAACTTTGCCAGTTAACAAATTCACTAGACATAACCTAGATAATACAAAAAACTTATTTATCGCTTTAAACATAATAAACCTGTTCCATTATATCAGTTTATTTCTAAAACAATTAATTTTTTTTTCAAGCTGGAACATCTTAGATAAATCTAATCTATAATATCTCTTTATTTGCCCTTAATTGAATAAAATCACTTTACTATCAAGCAAAAATACATCGATTATTAGACAGATTATAATAATAGTACTGTTGAGTTTACTAGTTTGATATTTTACGCTGCCTCTACTTTATAACATTTGAATATTCAGTGATCGTTTACTAGTCATTAAAATAAATTACTAACGCGTGTAGTCGTCACATGAAATTTTATTATTCATCCCATACCGCAATTACGTTAATGTGAATATTGGACAATGAAATTGTATGTCCTACTATTATATGAAACATATTTAGCAGGAATTGAGAAAGGATTACAATTCTACAATACAATAGTAGTTCTGAACTTAAATTGCCAGAAGCAAAAGTATCAAGAAGATATAAGCGTTGTATAGAATATACTAGCCGACATATCTTTTAACATTTTTCTTAAGATTTCATTATAAAGGCGGAAGTTGCCGTTGATAGTATAATTTGTATTAGGACAACATCTACCAGTTCTCCGCAAGCCAAGTCTCCAGCGGGCAGCAGCGCGGGTGCAGTCGCCAGCGCGTCCACCGCGCCCGGGGAACGCACGCCCACTGCACACAACAAGCAGTTGCAAAATGTCAAGGGCCAAGACCATCCGCAACATCCTTCCGTGAGTATAAAACATTAATCTCACAAGGATCAAGAATATTTCATCCCAATAAAAACGGAGAAATTTGACAGGTTATATTGGTTGGTATTTTATGTTCTTACGAGTTTCGTTTAATTTAATCGGAATGTATAATTTGAGGATATACGTATATGAGTTTATCTTGTGATTTTTAAAGTTACGCAATGAAGAGTTATTTTTATAGGATGCTACAGAGTAAGTATAAACAGAGAAATTGGATTGTGTTATTTGTTTTTTTTTTACTCTATCTAATTATGTAGGTCAATGTTGCTTAGTGTTTATTGGACGTAATTTGAAGTAATTGTTGTTGGAATTGTATTAGTCAACCTGTTGGTCGTGGAACGGTAAAGCGAGAGTTAAACGTTAATTAGGATGTATTTAAGCACGTGAATGTTTATGTTTGTGTCGTTTTAATTGTTGTGTACTCTTCCGTATTCAAAATTTAAGCAGATAAAAATTGTTAGTCCCAAAAAAGAAAAAAAGATATCCCCTAATCTTATTAAATTGTTTATCTTTAATTGAATACGTTTCCACACTTAGCTGCTACTATGTTTTTTAACGTTATAAAAGATTCTCAAGATAAATAAAATAAAACTAAAGAATAAGCGTAATAGGATATTTAAATCGATACGTCCGCAGTCTCTACCTTAAGGTACCTTTTGTGTACCACAATATACATAACTACTGTGTTTTCCACTAATATTAGTATTAAACTCTTCATAGGTTAAAACTATGCTCAAAGTTTTTAAAGAATAATTCTGACAAGCGACTTTGAAAAAAGCCGTTTTCACATGTTCTCTAATCCACTGCCCGGATTTAACGTAGACTTACCCTGTATTGTTTTAGGATGTTAAAATAAGATTAATTAAATGAATTTCGTATAATCCCTCCTATCCTGAGTAATAATTTCATTAATTTTGTCCGCGAAAACTGTAACGCATGGCTACTTTTTACATTAATTTTGTCGGCTTTAACTAAGTTTTAATGGGACTTCTAATAAATGGCTATTTATATTAAGCGACAAACTAATTCAACGGGAAAATCGATATTGAATGAGTTCGAAAACTTACATCATTAAATGTGAAAATTAAACTTAAATAAGGGCCGTTCACTTTTCACGTACACCCCTTATTTTGGGTAGGCTCTGAGACCCTCAGTAGGGACATGTGCCATAGTGAGCTGATGTGAAAGGTCCGTTTACACTGGACGTTTATACTTGTTTAATATCTTAACGCATTGATGATTATAGCTGTATTAAAAGGTGATTACGGAATACAAACCGTATACAAACTTAGGTAATGTCGAAAAAATGGCCTACATGTGAATTATTAAAGTCCATTCTGTTAACGACACTCATGTTAAATAGTGTTTTAGACAGGCGTCGCGGGTACGCAATGTAGATAATTTACTAATAGCAATTACTATCCTTTTATTTACAACTAGCTGTTCCCGTGCGGCTTCATCTGCATGAAATTATAAAAATTCTATTTTATTGTTAACATTTGTCAAATTCTCAATTACAAATGTCAAAATGACATGACATGACATCAAGGAAGCAAGGTGTTATACCTTGCTTCCTTGATGTTGGCAACAAATTATGGTCTCTTTCCCACATTAGGGTTTTTATCCAATTTATTTACCAACTAAGTTTAATAGCGTGAAAATATATAGCCTAAAGCGTAACGCAAGTGTAGGGCTTTTTGTAAAAAAAAAATAATTATTCAAAAAAATGTTGTAATTGCTGACATCTTAGGCAACAAAGAAATGTGTGTTTACGCTTTATTATAATAGTATAGATAATATAAATTATCGTGTTACAAAAAATGTGCATTTAACCTAATTTTTTTTGTTACTTTCTTGGTAGTTTTTGTCATTTTTTTTGTTAACTCTATCAAAGACTGGAGAATTTGAGTAAATATTAGACTATAGATATATTGGAGAAGGATAGCACGAAATATCCGTCAATTTGAGCGCTTATTGACGCCACAGCTTCTGAATTATTTATAGGCAGCCCTCGAGAGGGTCAGATTCAATCAGACCCTCTTTAAATTGCTTGTTATGTGGAGAAAAAACGTCCAGTCATATTGTCTAATGTGTTGTTTCATTAACTATATTGCTACTTTATGTACAGAACGTAGAATAATGCAGAGGTAATATTAAAATTTGATTTAGGGGCTGTCCTACAAAATTGTAAATTGTCTGATAACAATCCAACGTGCAAAATATATGATGGAAATATCGGATCTTGTTCCCTTATCCGACAGTGACGTCATTTAAAGCTATCTGAGCCTCTATCAGCCAGTGGTGGGACAGGCCCTTAATATTTTATTGGTGATATAGTTACTTTATTCAATTGTCGCAGTTAATTCTGAAATAATTTAATTCGGATGAGAATCAGGACATGAAGTTCCACTCAATTTTTATTATGTACAATCGCTAAAATCCGCATTATTACATTTACAAAAATTGCTTTGTTCGTTGCAACGAGACAAACTCCGCCTCTATTTACGTATAACCAATTAACAGAAAATTACCACTGACCGCTTTTTTCATACATTTAAAACCTGCGCCCTATCGGTTCTTGTTTAGAATGTATACAAAATGTTTAAACGAAGAACTTTTTAATCACCGTCAGATGCCCTGATTGTACTACCTACTCAAAAAAAGTTTTAGATTACATCTTTTTACTAGTTAAATTATATTTCATAAAAACTATCTTAGACAAATTTTCGAAGTTTATTTATCAAGGAACTCAATAGACAACTAGGGACGGAAGTAACTTGTTAAAGCAAAAACTTAGTCGAACAAGTTTGGCTTGCCCGTCGAAGTAAGGTCCGATGTTCGTCGAACTTTATTGTTATCATGAAAATTAATGTCGTAATAGACATACCAAACTACAAGTTTGTTTAGAACTAGTTTGCTCTAAATTCCATTTAGAAATAATCATTTTTTTAATTAGATACCTAGTTAAGGCCCATCTTATTACGGTTTTAATAATGAACGTGATATTAGAGTATAACGTACCTAAATCTTACTAATACTAATTTAATATTTTAAATGCGATAGTTTAGATGGATGGATGTTTGTTAGAGTTTGTTGCCTAAACGGCTGGAAGGATTTAGGTGAAATTTGGCATAGATTTAGAGAATGTTCTGGAAGAATATATAGGCTTATTACTTTTTATAATTTTTAATTCCACGCAGACGGAGTCGCGAGCGAAAGCCAGTGTATGTAAACTTATGAAAATCCGTTAGTCAACAATGGCATAATTCCATTTCGTTTTATTAAATTGGATATGTCATTGACACTTGAATGACATTGGCACTTAATAACAATCTCATTAAAATTTCAGCAAGCCCGCGCTCCGAAATGTACCCCTTATGATTTTATTAATTTCATGCATGACTTCGCTTTTCATTACTCTCGTGTATAGTCCGACATTTTTTTATTCAATCCTCACAACTTTGTATTTATTTCTTTGTGTGATTGTCTTAATTCTAGTAAATTATTGTAAATTATGCTTTTATATGACGTAATTTACTAAGAAATTAGTTCCATATTATCCCGCAATATGGCGAGGTTTCTTATACTCATAATCAGACTATACCTAATTATTGTTTAGAATAAATTCGAATGAACCGTCTTTTGTTTTTGTCCAAAAAGTTGAAATGTACAATTCCTTATTTGAAATAACAATTAGATGAGACTTTTTACATGACAAGCCACATCAAGCGGATTTCTTTCTTGAAGTAGGTGAATTTATTTGAAATCCCAGATGCGCCGAAATGGTATACTGCAGAACGGTCAATGAATTATTTATAACAGAGTACGTGAACCTGCCCTTTCATTGTTTGGGGTTAACCTGAATCATAATCACGGCATATAAAATGTATTTATATAAAACACGGCAACATCTGGGAGAAAATTCAATACATAACCTATGTTATAATTATATTTTTAGTAATAAACAAGTTTGATATACCTTAACTTGTTAATAGATCCATGGCAGAAGTTATAGAGGCATAATATAATTTTGTATAATGCTTTAATATTACATTAGACACCAATAAAGAAGTCGTTCAAAAGAAATTAACTTTAACAGAAATATAATCGAAAGCGCCTGCTACATTATGATACAATTCGGTCTCAAGTCACGATCGTACTTTTGTAGCAAGAATGCGTTAGGCGCTCGACTTATTTAAGGTACCAATTTACTACAACCAATTTACATAAGAAGCATCTACAAAATGTTGTCAATCTTTTATTTATATAATTTTACTAGACAAAAATACTATAAACTTTGTCGAGAAGTCAGTGCCATTTTGTATCTATGAACATTTAGGTCAAAAGGATTATACAAAGTTTTTGCAAACTAATCAAAAATTCACACGCCAAAATTACAACGGTCGGTTTAACGTCCGGACACTAATAAACATTAAAGCTTTGTTAGCTGTAGGATGCTTGCTCTATTCATAAGTGACTTGCGCCCAGAGGTCGGGTTGTTATTATGAATTATTCAATATTCGGATACGGTTTTAGCTTAACACCAGTTATTTTAGGATACTGAATACATATTAATATCCACTGCGTCATATGTCACCAACGATGACGTAGGTATCAAATATCGTAAACAATTTTCAATAAAAATTACTCTTTTTCGGTTCTCAATGCGGATTTCTGTAGAATATATACTCTCTTTGAACATCTATCACATTTTTCGACCCATGTTTTTATCATGAAAATAAAAATAAAGTTCATATATTTTAGTATTAGATTCACCACATATTTTAGCAAGCCCAAGGTTGGTTCGCGAGAAAAGTATTTCTCCAGACAAACGGTTTATTGGCGCCGTTGCTCCTGAATTATTTATCATCATCCTGCTCACACGGGTTAGAATTATTTATTGTCATCTCGCTCACACGGGTCAGAATCAATCAAGCCAGGATAATTTGCTGGCATCGTGTATAAAAATCTATTCATTACTTTGTCTACGGTAATGTACGGTTCACGCGTGAGTTGATAATTTGCTTTTAATTATGTTTTTCATTTTAAATTAATTATTTTTAATGTCAATTTTTTAACTACTAGTAGTCACCGTTGACTCCGTCCGCGATGAATTAAATAAAAATTTAATTAGTAGTCTTGTCTTCTTTCAGCCTTTTTGTACATCTTTGCCTATGTATATCTTTATATTCGGTCTTTTAATGTTCTTTTTAAGTTTAATATCTATAAAACTATCCTATAACTAACTTTTAATATAAATGTGAACTGTGCAGTGCCAATATAAACATTGTATGTTTAATGGCACCAAGCTGTGTTAACACCACTATGTAAAAATGTTTTCGTTGAAATAAATTAAAAAAAAACAAAAAAATATTCAATGCATACATACTAACTTACTTTTACTTTAGTAGTAGAAGTAAGATTTTAATGTAAATTTATGTTTTGAGTTAAAAATAAAGAAATAAAGATACACCCGCTCCCCAGGTCCCTGACGTAAAATGTGTTAGGGGAACAAGAGAGCGGCATGTAGCCGCTCATTAAAAAAAAAAACTTACTTTTACTTATGACTTATAATAGCAAGTGTGGAAACGTCAAAAATATAATGTTTAATATGAAATAGACTATTTTGATATTTGTAAAAATATCTGTTTCACTTTTAAGTTTAAAGTGATAATTATACATATTCAAGAGCAGAATCTGCATATATATAGTATATTTGCGGCTTATGGGATAAGCATACATGAGAAATTAAATTCTCACGACGTATACACAAAATTGACGTGCGACCAACATCAAATAACAAATTGGTTTCAACTTACACGTTGAACTGTTCATTCTAAATTGTAAAACGTTAAGAACTTTACGTCTTCAATATATGTGTTTAAAACCTGTGTTAGAGTAGAATATGGATATGTTTATCGTAGTGTAGACATTTTATAGATGTTTTTGTCTATCTGTGTATTTGGTTCTTTTTTTATTATTTTAATGGACTGTTTTAAATTATGGATTCTCTTTCCATGCTTTCTCCTTCAAAAATGGTAGGTAGAAGAGGTTGTATAAGGAAAAACTAGAGGAAAATTATTTAAATAGACAAAGGCTTTATTTAACGCTATTTCGCACTTGAATAATTATTTCTTCTTTATTATGTAAAGTTGCGAATGCTTCGGATTTATATAATTAGCTTGATCGCAGCTAAGTTTGCTTTTTTCACTTATGTTTACTTATGTAATAATTCCAGGTATTTACTTAATTTTAGCTTATGTTAAGATACTATCTTACTACAGCTCTACGATTGATCGGAAAGAGCTAAAATATAAATAGTACAGTTTAAATAGAGATTTATTTTAAATAAGTAGTCGTAGAACTTAAGTTAAATCACGATAAGTATAGATAAGTAGAACACTCCTAACTTAACCTTTTTTATAATTCACAAAGTGCCACTCCAGAATTTTATTTTTTCATAAATCTCTTGTATGTATAAGTTACTGTAATACTTATTTTCTTTAAAGAGTGTCACTTTTGAATAAAAAAGGTGAATAAAATAGCATTCTCATTTTAAATTTTGCCATAAGCCTTTTATACTAAAAAAGATATTTTAGATACTGCAATTAATGACTTCAATTACTGATTTTTAAGTCATGTAATATGTAAATATATTAAATATCACTTACTTAGGTTTAAGACAGGTTTTGTCCATAATATTATACCTCAAAATAGGGGCAAATATTTATTTCAAGCTTGCGTCAATTTTTTTATATATACTTATATCTATATATTTTTTAATTCACTGATAGTGATAAGCACGTTTGATTACCTTAATATTATTAAGGTTTAAAAAAATAATCAAATAAAAAGATTTTAACCACGTAAAATATACAATCAAAGATATTTGATTAATATTTTAAAAACCGTTTACTTATTGACAAAACCTAAAAAAACTTACTTAAGAAAGACCGATTTTAATTATTGATTTATTAATTTGTAGTCTTTTATATTTGTGTTGCTAACTGTATTTACTAAATATTAATTAAATAAAACCGAAAATTTATAACGGATTGAAATATTAATCAAATGAGAAAAATATTACTCATAATTTAATTTAGTTTTAAGACTACATTAGTTTTTATATTTACTATGTAATATAATATATAGTTATGACATATCTGCATTAAAACATATTTTTAAACATAGAGAATAAATTGTAGTTGCTTTATAGTGTACGTTATTGTGCATCAATCGTTTAAGATATTTAAATTTCGAATAAACGAAAAAATAAGTGCAGTCATTTTATAAAACATCGTACTCAACCGAATGATGGCTAAACAATCAATAATATTATTAACCTAATTAATATTTATAAATAAAAATATTCGATTTCAATAACCAAAGATAAATCGTCGAGAACTATCGAACTCTATTAGTCAATTTCTAGATAATTCGTCTCAGCTCTAAAGATCTCTACCCAGAGACGTGAAGTTTACCTTTCCTTAAAATTAAGGATGATTTTCATCCACGCTTGCCCATTCCAAATTGGTTTCTACCTTTTTTTTTTTGTCTGTAACATTTTTTCTCCTTATTTTTGTGAACTATGTTATAAAATGTATGATGTTTTCCTTTTGAATGGATTAAATGACTTTATTATTATTATTACCACACATCTATTTATTTCTTCGTAAATAAACAGATTGCATTACGATGTGTTTTTTTCCTAAGAAATGATAGGTAAAACTGAACAGATAAAAATGCAATTATCACATAACTTTAACAATAGTATAAACGTTATAAATTGAACGATTGATGCACAATAACGGAGAGCAACAACCGTAGCAGTCCATTGTGACATCACTTTAAAGTGTTTCCACTGTGGACTGACAGATGGCGTTCCTGCAGAACCGATCCATCTCGCTGGTGGACATGTATATCGACAACTCGGAGCCGTCAGAGAACGTCGGACAGATCCATTTCTCCCTCGAATACGACTTCCAGAATACAACTCTGATTTTGAAGATCATACAGGTAACATTAGTATTAACTTCATATTGAGAGGTAGATCCAGTTGTTGTTAGCTCATCTTTATCCGCACCATGTTGGTTGACTCTACCATATCTTGGGAGTGATGAATTAATTCACTTGTTGATAAGCATTAACCCTCTTTATCATCGGGCTGCTGCTCTAGAGCATGGCTAGCAACGTCCATGCATATAAGAAACGTGTTACGTATATTACAATTCTTAGGAACTATGACTATTACAAAAGTAGATGTTAAGAATGTTGTAAATAAATTACAATTTGTCTCAATTACAAGTTTAATAAAACAAGAGATCAAAATGAAAACATGAAGAACGAAAAACGTGTGATGCTCATAGCATCAACGTAAATTGCATTTGTTCGCTAAACGTTAAGCAAATCTTATTTCTTATTGGAACGTGATGCCAATTACAAAGGCAAATAAAATCATTTGAACTTCGTGAACGACAATTGCATTTAATAATTCATGTAGGTAATAAGTGCTCGCGCAAAATATAAATTTACTAGCTTTTACCCGCAACTCTGTCCCCGTGGAAAAAATTCCATCAAGATTCGTTCAGCCGTTTTAGCTACAAACTCTAACAAACATCCATCAAACAATTTAATCTTTCGCATTTATAACAATAGTAGTTTCGGAACAAAACAGAATCTTGTTTTCTGGACTCATTACATTATTATAGCACTAATACTTACTAGTCCATTCAGTTTCAAAACACGCCAACAAAGATTAACTATAGATTAATTTTAAGTTGATATTGATTGACCTTTAGCAAGCATAAGAAAGGCGCCCATAGTCCATTCATTATTTAATTCCAGCCAATGAAGGCATATTAGGGGAATTCAGCAACCTTGATTATATCGTCGGTCTGTCATATAGGAAATCTACTCCTTTTTCAATGACGATCCATAAATAAATGATCATTGCGCAATGTAAGAACTTAATCTATACATTTTATTAATGCTATGTATGCTAATAGGGCAAAGAGCTTCCTGCTAAGGATCTGAGTGGCACCTCTGACCCGTATGTGCGGGTGACCTTGCTACCAGATAAGAAGCATCGCCTGGAGACGAAGATCAAGCGGCGAACACTCAACCCGCGCTGGAACGAAACCTTTTATTTCGAGGGTTTCCCCATACAGAAACTGCAGAGCCGGGTATGACATTTGAAACTTGGTCCTTCCTAACATTGATATGAATTAGCTAACTAAAATAATATATTTATCTATGATTTACATGTACTCTGTGGTTTATTAAAATATTCTGTTTTCAGGTACTACACCTGCACGTGTTTGATTACGATCGCTTCTCCAGAGATGATTCCATTGGAGAAGTCTTCTTACCGCTTTGCCAGGTATTTTTATTGCAAATAATAAAATTTTTATCCGTAATAAGATAACCTTCTTCTTATGCCTTTTTGGGAAAATCAATGGTCACTTGGGGCCAGCATTTTTTGTCCTATCTCAATTCCTTGACCAAATGAGACCATCCTAACTTCTTTGAACTTTTATTTATCTTAATTGTATTTTAAATTGAGTACCAAGTTAAGATGTTCTTGTCGTTGACGTTCCGATTCTGAGTAAAATATTCCGTCTTAACTATGACCATGTGAAGTCAAAGTCTACCAATATTCATTTTTAGAGATCACTTTATGAAATCGTAAATTTGAACATCAACTGGAAAATATCTTGGCAAAATTAGAAATGGGGTCCAAAAGGGAATCTGTTACTCTGTAATTTAGTAGAGTCCCGTGGAATTTATTCGGCGTAATGTTTGAATTTTATTGCTATTTCCACAATAATGTTTGCTTAATTTCGTGTTTACTTCTTGATGCATAAAATTAAACGAAGAAGGTAGTTCTTCATCTTAGATATGTTTATACGATTTCTAAAACTTTGCCTTTGTTAGGTACTTAGCTATATGTTTGTTGATGTTTTAACCATTTTTTTAATACAAATTCACCATATTTCCTTCTACACCAGGTGGATTTCAGTGAGAAGCCATCGTTCTGGAAAGCTCTGAAGCCCCCTGCTAAGGACAAGTGTGGAGAGCTGCTGACGTCACTTTGCTATCACCCCAGCAACAGCGTGCTCACCCTCACACTGCTTAAGGCGAGGAACCTCAAGGCCAAAGATATTAATGGAAAATCAGGTAATATCATAATGCTATTTGAACACAACATATGAATGAAGTGAAGTAGTCCCAATCCGGTAATGGTAAAGTAACGGCCCGAGCCGACGCTACCGAGGGAGCCCTCCAGCTTTGTTGCTCATAATCGAGGTTCAAGCCCGGTGAATCTGTAAATGCCTCTTCAAGGTAAACAGTGGCAACTCAGTCACAAAAAAATGAAGTGAAGTAGTCTTTACTGCTTCGGGATCACCATCCAGTATTTCGAAATTCTGTATTTGTGGCTAATGAAGGTCTTCAATTTTTAATGATTTTTATTAAATCTTGCTTATGAGGACTTTTAAAGATAAGCTAGTATCCAGTTATTTAGGTATTAAAATATCTGATTTTTTACTCTTAATTTATTTATACCGTTATCACTTTCCACGGCACATAAATCAAGATGCCATCTAGAAGTGGCACTCTCAATTAAGGGACTCCGGGAAACTGGAGTATTTGAGTTATTGCTCTTCGCTTTTTAGGGCTTCTCGAAAAGGAACGGACATCGATAGCAAAAAGATGTTTCCGAAATTTATTACAACGTCCTATTTTATTACTTGATATAAATTTTGATGAAATGAAATATGAGTATTTGGAGTCTAAAATATCAACAACAGAATAATGAGACAAGGCTTCTTTCATTACAATTATTGAGGTCTTTTTTGTATTTAATTTTTTTTTATGGCTATTCCATAGAAAAATAAAATAATAATCTGCAGAGATGGTAACTGAGAAAATCTGTACCAAATTACTTGATCTTAAATTAAGAACGAATTGCTCCGTTAACTGTCTTGGGATTCTGGAAGCTTAGAAATTAATAAAATGCCAACAAAGAGATGGATAAAAATCAATTCCGGATTGCTTAATTGTGAAACTCTCGTTTGAAATACTTAATTCAGTTAAGGTATCTAAATCAAAATCTCTTGGCTCCCATAGTAAGGTTTAATAATTATTCACACTTTAGTTTAAATAAGATTACACCATTCTACAATATTATAATCTGAACCAATTTACAGAAGAAAGAAGAAATTTGTCCAATTGTAAAAATACAGATATCTTTGTTAACATTCACTCAATGTTATTGGTTTTAAAATTAAAAAAAATACTTTCTAACCTCAAAATCATATTTGTTTTCCAGATCCGTACGTCAAAGTTTGGTTGCAATTCGGCGACAAACGTATCGAGAAGCGTAAGACTGCGATCTTCAAGTGCACGTTGAACCCCGTCTTCAACGACTCCTTCTCGTTCAACGTGCCGTGGGAGAAGATCAGGGAGTGCTCCCTCGATGTCCAGGTTATGGACTTCGATAACATCGGGCGCAATGAACTGATTGGAAGAATACTCTTGGCCGGTAAGTACACTTACTAGAAAAATGTCTTAAAACACTAGATTTGCCAGCGAATTTGTCTCCGCGAAGACAAAAAGTACCTTGTGTTCTTCTAGATTGTATTCTATGTTATGGTAAATTTATTGGAGATCCACTGACCGGTGATGGTTTTAGTTGATTTTTTTTCAGTGGTCGATGAACTGAGAATCAATCAATTATACTTTTTATTACAAAAAATTAAAAGTTCCTTCCATAAAATCGATGCAAATTTGCAGATATGTTTGTAAACGACAAACAAATGTGACGATTAAAACTATTAAAACGCTGACCGAATCTTAACATGTTTGTAAGTAACAACTTAGTAATTTCGATCACAAAATCATCTTAATCATAAGAATTTGTTTTTAATTCCAGGTAAAAACGGTTCCGGAGCAACGGAGACGAAACACTGGCAGGACATGATCACAAAACCGCGGCAGACCATCGTGCAGTGGCATCGCCTCAAGCCTGAGTAAACTCATTGTTATCGAAACATAAAAACAAAATTTTATACCGGAGAAAGTTGATACAAAACGTCATAAGACTGAATGGTTAACAAAAAAAATCTAAAACGCCTCGGAAAAAAAATATCTTCAGTGACTTCGTGGTTTCTAACCGTGGATTACTGCCGAAAGAGCTATACTATATACTGTTATCTCTCTTTTTCTCAAAGAGTTTGATAGAGATGCCAATATGAACAATACATTTCGGCAGTGAGAACCGACGGTAACGCTGTGCACAATTTCTTTCGTTATCTCCATGACGACACATTCTTTACACTGCAATTTCCAAGCACAATTATCTTTTTTACCTATGATTTCTGATTTATTTATATTACATTGAAAATATGTTTTTCTTATGATGTACTTATTTTTCAAATCTTCTCTTCAGTATTGTTTATTCGAAAATTTACTTTTCTATCTCCAGTTAATTGATTTTAACTTTAATTCAGATTTATTAAACGACACAAAGGCTCTTCGTTGATTATTACGATAACATTATTGAAAACTGGTCTGATACATCTTTTAACATCGCTTTTGAAAATCAGTCTTTAATGTTTTAAGAACATAAACTTTTCAATGGAATTTAAAAAAGGAAATGATAAAATGACGGTTACATATTGTGTCGTTCCTACTTGCTCGTAACTACATTCTCTTCTCTAATAAAATCTATCTCTCATGGGTTCTCTTAATTCTTAGACTAAATAAATAGAAAATTACCAATTTTATTTTTTTTCTTGACTATGGAATGACTTAATTTTATATTTCTCTGACGTCATACTTTTAGAAAAAGATGTTGATATCCTTTTTATTCCTTAAAAACATAATGTTTTAACACAAGTTTGGTAATTTTCTATTCATCACGGATACAAGAGAACTTTCTTTCTATTAAACTGTATATTGACGTTTTATTAAAAGTTGAATAATCAATGTTAATATTTAAAATTGTTAGAAATATTAAATTAGAAATATGATTGTTAAATTGTAGTTAAATTAAAGTCGAGTTCACATGGCACAAAGAGTGTAGAAAATTACGTTAAAAATTATTTATATTTGGACGCATTTGGAAATACAATATCATATTCGACTTAGCAATTTAGTTTCAAAAATTGCTCAAAATCGTATCTGAAATATAGAATCAAATCTGATTCCATTGATTTTATTGTTTTTAATGATATTGTTGTATGGAAATTATTAATAAAAGTAGAAAGAGCAAGTTAGTGGTTGGTCAATTTTAGGAGAGTGTACAATTTGTGATGGAGAAGGAAATTACGGTGTTGTTTATTACTCGTGTTCATTGACCTCTATCAAATGGACAGGCTGTAAGGAATTGTATTATGCTTATTTGATTTTTGCCATTTTGGCGCTGTCGGTTGCGGTTGGTAATTATAATTCGAACTAATTAAGATTGTCAGTATCAAGAGAATTACAGTCGGAAGAAAACAAAAGCTGTCGTTGCTAAGCAACCGCCTATCCAATTAGTATAGAGATCAGTGATCATGTTATTGATATGTATGTAATGTATCAACGTAAAATGGTCATATAATATTAGTGTTAAATGCTTATTGTTACATGTTATTAAGCTTAGTAAAAAAAAACCATAAAAAATTAGTTTTGATGTTGACATTGAGGACTAAATGATACATAATTCAAAATTATATACATACGTTTATAAAAGTTTTTTAGATACATGTAGAATATTTTATAGAAAATCCTACTGATTAGCTTGTTGTCGTAGGTGTTAGTTCGGTGTTTACGTGGATTAGTTGCGAAGTGTTGAATGTTGAACAAATATATCAAATGAAATAGACAAAAATATAAAGTATAATTTGTAACCGAGCTTTGAATGGCATTTTAAAAAGTAAAAACAGGTTATTGCTTAAGATAAAATGATAGAAAAACATAGATTTAGATATACGAGTATTAAAATTTATTTCATCGATGGATTCCAATATCTAGATTTCCATTCTCGATACGTTTATAAAATGCTTTAGTTTAAAATGTGTTTTTTTTCTTCATAGAAATGGACACGTGATTTTGTATCAATGTTTAAGCAGTGAAATCCCACAGCAACAATAATTACGTCATTAGACATAATGAACTAGATTGAAAAAGCAGGTTTTATTAGCGTGTAAAAGTCGAACGCTTGTTTAGAATATTCTCGAAGTATGCGGTAATCGTATCAACATAACGCAATCTCCTATTTAAAATGTCCCCAGAATCCAGAGATCTATTCATATTAACAGTTATCGCTTAGACATATTAATGTAATAGACGTACTTGTAAATCCTCTTAGATTAAAAGCTGAAAGTATATTTTTTACTATCGGATTTTTGCAAAATAGATTGTATTTTAACAAAAACTTACTAAGGGGATACTCCCTGTGAAAGCTTCTTCGTTATTTTTGCTATGCATTTTGTGAACGTTATTTTTAAACTATGGAAAACTGCATTTAGACGTAATTATAATTTGTCAAAGCATATCCTCGGTAGAAGAGTTAAAATTATAAAATGTAATTATAAAAAGAAAGGTCAAAATGAGAGGAATTATTCTATAAATGTACATAAAAAATAGGAATATTTTCAAACATACTTTGAGATCGCTACATTACTTGTTTGTATAGTTCATAGAAGTTGGAATATTTTTCTTCCTTTAACTACCTCTATGTACAAGTCGTTTACTTTGACACTCTTTAGTTAACTTTTTAAATTTATTTATTTTGAATCTTTGTGACGTACAATCTTAGAACATATCAATTATTTTTTGTTCCAAATACACTATTAATGGATGTATATTTTTATGAAAGGAATATTGAAAGAGATGGCTATATTTTTTTGTCTTGTATACATTTCTTTTTCTAACACAAATGCAATGTATACATTTTTATCACATAAATTTCTTGCTTTCAGAACGATAGTTGTAACAAATTCTTTTTAGGTTAGTTTTAATTTTTTCCGTATTAATTATTATAGTTTTTTTTTAATCAAACTATATCCAATATATCTAGTTAGCTCGCCATTTTGTAAGCTTTGTTTTCGAAACGTTTAGCTCAAAAGATGTAATTTAAAACGCGATCGGTGTCTATTTTGTGCAATATTGTAATTGTATTAAATGTTAAAATTAGGTGAATTGTGATTCTAACAATATAGCTGATTATTTTATCTCATAGTTAAATAACGTTTTAAAAAATATATAATATCACATACAAATAAGAATCAGTGTTTAGAATATAGATGAATGTTATGAAATGTATTTATAGATTGTTATGATCTGCTTTCTTTGCTTTTTAAATTTTCATTACAACTGTTGTTATTTCTGTGCGGAATCTTTGAATTATTTTTTATTAGAAAAAAGGCATTTGAAAGTAGAGTATAACTGTGTAAGTAGACAAAATCGTGTATTTTCATGTTTATGCCTTCGATGTTAAAATTTATAATTTAATTTATAATCTGTTTAAAAGTAACTTTAGTTAGCGACATATTTTTATTACAGACATGTAAAAGTGTTGACAATCTTACTGCATATTGTATATTATATTTGTGACATTCATTATTCCCAAATAAAGTATGGAGTTAAAACATCTTTTCATTAAATAGGATTGCTATACACGGACAGCTATACACAGTCGGAGTACTGGTGGCAGCATTTTCCATCAGAAAATGTATAGCAAACGCCAATTCCAAATACTGCTTGAATAAGTTTATGTTCACCTTTAACTAATCGTATAAATTAAAAACATGTTTAGAAATTTTGTATTTTTTATTGAATAGGTTTTCTATCATTTAATGTATCAATATCACAAACATTACCTTATAATAGGTCGGTATTCAAGTAAAAAAGCCGATAAACTTCTAAAAAAAATCGACAATCACATACAAAATCGTAATCCGAACATTCTTTTTGTATAAAAAACAAACATCCTTTATTCTTCTCAAACAATGAAATGACTGATATTTGTCATGCTATAAAAGACAGGAAATGGGAAGTGGGCTTTAGAATTTGGTACACTATTGTGATTCCATTGTTAGTGGTCGGTGTTAATACCAATACGTTTAGAAAGTGGATACCGTTATTGAGTATAGAATGAACATAAAATTAACAGCGATTTGTGTACGATATATTGAGACCAATCGTATTTCTTAACAATAAAAGGAATATCACCTTGAAAATATCAAATTGTTTTACTGATTTCAAATTTGGAACAGCCCGAAGTATCAAGGTGATTTAGAATTTGGCGCCTAATTTTATTTCTTTAACCTATGTTTTGCATTTAAGCCTTAGGTTTCTCTTCCGCCTTCTTTTCCTCTTCGGGAGCGGCTGTGGGGAGTTCAGGGTACTCCAATTTCACGCCATCCTCGCACGTGAAGATAGGACAGCAGCCGGGGAAAGGCGCGGTCTTGTTAGTCTTGTCTGTAACACAAAAATATACATTCAAATAAAATCGATAGCAGTTATATTACAACAGACATTAAGAAACGAGTTCGTAGGCGGATTTGAAATGAAACTGGACTAAAAGCGAATTCTTTTATGCAGCATTAGAATTGCTATTTTATTCAGAAATAGATCAATATTATACATTCAACATAAGTCACCTTAAAGTTCAATACCGTTTATGGATACGTCATGTTCATTTCTCGTTTTTAAATAAAATCAAAACTGACAAATATTGTAACTAAAGAGTTGCTTACAAGGACGTTTGGAACATATTTCTCTGTATTACTTCGATTTTACATTTTTGATATTACAAAAGTTCTAAATCAACAAGAATGCAATAAGGAAATACTTTAGAAATCGTTTAATATTACATGACACGTTTAGTGAATAAGAAACCTTACTAGAACTGACTAATGTGGGCTAGATAGATGGCGAATTCAAAGTGTATTGTATTGCCTCCTCATACTATATCAACACTCTGAGACTCAGTGACAATTTTGAACCAATTATAATACGACAACTCGATATGACAATTCAAGTAAAAAATTGTTTATTATTTAACTAACCAGTGTCTAGCTTGCACTTGGGGTTGGCAAGTGGCAGGGGTCCGCAGTCCTCGACGAGCTCGAGTAGACGCGGCGGCGTGTCCTCGCTAACAACGCACATGCTGCGGCCACAGAACGGCGCCAAGTCCCAGCTGTTGCCAGGCTCGACGGTAGCGCAGCGAGTCGACGCGAAGCACAATCCGGGGAAGTCTGTAAGATAAACGATGGATTATAGATTGCAGAAGATCGATCTTCAAATAAAAGGCTATGTTAGATTGCTGATATATCGAAGACTTAGGGCCTATCCCACCAAAATGTAAATTGTCTAAACAATCCAACGTGAAAAACATGTGATGGAAATAACGGATTTTGTTACCTTATTTGATAGTGACGTCATTTTTAAACTATCTGAGGCTCTATCAGTCATTGGTGGGAGAAGCCCTAATTTAGGAAAAAATCTTTCAGATATCTTATCGGCGAAACATTAACTAAACTATCTGACATCGTTATTGTTATATGTAAAAGACATTTTATAAACATATGTTCTTCTTTTGGAAATTACCATATAAACGCAATGGTAAAAACATTACTTAACAAATTTATTTTGTTAAAAGCAATCGCTTTAAAAATAATACAAAAGCAAGTGTGTATTTTACCGTAACAACTACACTACGTAATTATTAAATACATGTCAATATTGTACTTGGAACAGCAATCATTAATAATGTATAATTGTCTTTTGAACACGGTACTCGATATATCAAGTGCGTGCAGTAAATACCACTTTCTAAACCTTTCTGCGTTACATAAGTGTCAACGGTTTCTAATTGTAATACAATACTTCCTGCTTACAAACCTTTGTTCAACAAGGAATTCGTTTAAAAAATAAATATACTCATATATACTACAAGCTATTGCTCGCGACATCGCCCGCGTGTAATTAAAAAAAATAGCCTATGTTATTCACTGATAACGTAACTTTTTAATGGTGAAAGAATTTTTGAAGGTTTTTAGTTATTTCAATACATACAAAATACAAATCTTTCCTCTTTTTTAATATTAGTATTGGTTAATAAACAGTGATGTATCATCTTGCATTGTTATCGATATTTTAAAAAACAAGATTAGAATTGTATTGTGTAATAAATAGGGAAGGCCACATATCAAACTAAAGATTCATAATAATCTGTTATTGCATGTTCTTAAATTGAAATAGTACAATCAAATTCAATCTTACTAATCTTACTAATATTATAAATGTCAAAGTTTAGATGGATGGATGGATGTTTGCTAGAGTTTGCAGCCTAAACGGCTGACCGGATTTCAATGAAATTTGGCACAGATGTAGAAGTTAGTCTGGAAGAACACATAGGCTATTTGCTTTTGTTTTTTTCAATTCCACGCGGGAGGGTTGCGGGCGAAGGCTAGTATTAACATATAAATAGCTATTTAATGGAACAAGAAAATGTTACAATGTCATTAATTCCATTACGACCTTTGTCAGATTGAAGCTTACGAATCGAAATAGTTAAAGTTCGTTTCAGAATACGGCCCTAAGAATTACCAATTTGCAACATTGTTATGATTACGATAAATTAATGTTTACATAATGTTAGAATCAGGCTTCAATATATTGCATTAAAATTAATGACGCTATCAAAGCTGGTGCAGTTTCCAAGAAATATTAAAGCTGTGAGCCTTGATCCGTTTTACTGAAGCTGCTACATACAAACAAGTATTCATTAACGTTCCCATTACCGAAACATGTATCTTAGTACCTTTACTCTTTTCCACACAGTAATCAATCTCTGTGCCATTTAATCCAGATAAGTATAGCTGAATTAAAGTTACTTGTTAAAGAACATCTATTCATACTTTCTCTTTTGTAATCTGTACTAAAATTATGAAGAGGAAAGAGTTGGATTTTTTTGAATTTTATATTTTGTATGTATTGAAATAACTCAAAAACTAGTAGGCCGATTTAAAAAATTCTTTCACCGTTAGAAAGATAATTTATTTGTGAATAACATAGGCTATATTGTTTAATTTCATGCGGGCGAAGTCGCGAGAAACAGCTAGTAATATTATAAAGAGGAAAGATTTGTATTTTTTTATGTATTAAAATAACTGAAAATCTACTGGGCCGATTACAAAAATTATTTCACCATTAAAAAGCTACGTTATCAGTAAGTAACATAGACTATTTTTTTTAATTACACGCGGGCGAAGTCGCGAGCAACAGCTAGTGTAAGACATAAGAGTAAGAAATAATATATTCGGTTCGTTTATTGGATTTTCATAACCATTATTGTTCAATTCCTTAACATTGTAAACCAGTCGTGTTCCAGATTCTTCTCAAATGCATCAGATTTAATATTGCAAATCTAATTTGCAGTACTAATGCATTTAAACTTAAGACGTGAATGTAGTTCAGGGCCGTCATGTAAGACCTGACAGTCACTCGAATGGTACAATTTAATGTCACATTGTTACTTTATGCGATTAAGTGATGATTAACGTGTAAAAATTACATTGCTGTTCTCATACACGATGTTAATTTATGTCCATTAAAGCTGGCGATGTAATGCAAAAAGTGGGCGTCGAGGAGAGAGTCGCTTGCGGTTTTGTTGCGAAATGCAGTGTGAATGCACTGCGATCAATTAAACAGTGAATTATTCTTACATTGTTGTTGATTTTAGTACGAAATTACAGACCAATAACCCGATATAGTAAAAAGGCGCAGTAAATTCGCTTCGCAATAGGTGTGGTACAGTGCATGCATAATAAACAAAACTGCCATAAACTGAATTAAAAGTAATGCACATTAAATTAATTATCGA